GATTACAAGTGAACAACGGTATTCCTATTAAGAGTTGGATTGATGATCCGTTGGATTCTGCCTTAATTTCATTACTTCCCTTTTTGGAGACCCTGGTTGATGTTGATGATGTCCGTCCTATTATTGCCCAGAGATTTGGTAACAAGGAATAAGAGCCCTTCGTATTCTTATTCTGTTCTTGAATATGGTGGCTCCTTGTCCTCTCTCTATTTCACAGCAAAAGTAGCTTCTAATCTTAGATGCTTCTCTCTCTCATCTTTGAGCTCAAGATGATTAACTATCGAATAAACTTGTTTGTCTTTGTTGAGTCAGACTTAGGTGCTTGTTTCCTTTCCTTTCTTTCCTTTCGCTGACTAAAGTGTGCTTTGTCTCATTTTTTGGTGAAGGTAGGTCTAGGGAATGTCTCTTTTGCTTTTTTGTACAGTTCATGTGCTTGGTCRTATGTGATAAGAATGTATATGAATTTTAATGTTGTGCAATATAATTCATGCGGGATGTTGCTTTCTCCCATGCCACTTTCTTCGTGATATGTAGTTTTATTTGGTGTTGTTTTGTAGTGCTCCTTTTTTTAAAAAAAAATTATTAAATTCAAATCTTCGTCCATTTCCTCAATTAGAAGTTGGAACTCTTGACTTGGATCTTCTCTTTCTTCTATTTAAATTATTTCCTCAATTAGAATTTGGAACTCTTGACTTGGATATTCTCTTTCTTCTGTTTGATAACAAAGTCATTAAGCTTGAATTTTCCCAAATCATATACACTTGATGTATTGTTCCTTCTTGAAAGAAGGCTTCTATTAGAGTTCAAGGCTGTGTTGAAAGACTGAAGTYATCAAAGTCTGAAGTTGCGTGTACAAGGTTTTGGTTTGGCATATTCTGAAATAGAGGGAACTTGAAAGTCTGCTGAATTATTGTAGAACCTAGAGGAGTATGCTGGGTTGAGCATAATGGTAAAAACCCTTGGATTTAATATAATTTTAAAAAGTTTAAATTTGAATCAACATATTTAAATATTAAATTTCTTGTAAGCCTTATGATTGTCAAATATTTTTAAGCCGTGTAGAAGTTTCATAATAAAGTTTAAGAGGTCAAGGGGTCTAGGGGTATAAAGGAGATCTCAAGGTTTATGACGGATTAATGAGTGTAGCTACTTAAGAAAAGACTAGAAAGCCATGACAAACAGATACACTGAACGCACTACTATCTTTGTTTGTATTATGATAATTCATTGCATAAGTTATGTAATACTTGGTTGCGTGTGTATTTCACGATTGAATGCATTGACACTTTTGACTGTCATCCTATTAAGATGCTCTCTTGTGTACCCTTTCACTTAATTGGGATTAATGCTCTTAAGATGTTCTCATTCTCTGAAGTTTGATTAATGCTTATTATCTATCATTAAGAATTAGTTTCCTGGAGAAAATCAACGGGAAGACCTTTCCTTTGCCTTTAACGTTTTTTTGTATTTATTTGTTCTTTTCTGTTGGGTTGATGCATGGACATATTCAAGTTTAACGTAGTTCTTTGTTTCACTACTGAATATACATTGATTAGTGCTTTGAGCCGAGTGTTTTTACATCCTGCAATTCACCGTGCTTTCATGCATGTGAAATAGAAAACCTTTGTTTTCCTTAAGTATTGAATTTTGTGGGATTTTTTATAATGTACTTTCTCCATTTCAACATCTTGTCTTGAGATCTTCCAAGACTGTGATTACTTGTTATATATTGACAACTCATAACTTGAGTAATCCGAGTTCCTGTGACATTTGTGTACATTTCATCTTATTTCTTGTTACATATCGTTTTGCCCCTTGTTGACTTCCACTCCTGTGTTATTCTGCATGTGTCATAGTTCTGCAGCCTTGCACTTTATAGGTCTTATACATGGAGGGAATAGGATTTTAGGAGATTACTAAYAACAAATCAAGCTTCCTAAGGAAAAATAGAAGGAAAAAAAGAA